AGATAATACTGTATTTGCATAGTCTCCATAAGGAGATTTGTGATGTCTTTTTTCCCTTTTAAGAATCACAGGAATAAATTATTAGAACCTGACAAAACTTATGGACTCTTTACAGTCAAAGAATGCACATGGTTACAAGATGCACATATTCTGCCTGTTTTGTTCCTAACATCATTTGGTTTTTGTTCCTTCCTTATCTCCCTCTTCCTTTAGGAGCTCAAGAACTGATAAGAGGGGGGGGAAAGGCTTAGAGAAATAAGGTATACACTTCAGGCTACCAGGAGAAAGAGGAAAAACAGTGAGGAGAAAGTGGGTGGGTTGAGCTACTTATAGCAGCTGTGACTGACAAGCCATCTTTGTCTCCTTACTTCCAGGTAGTTTGCAACATGAAGGATAAGTCCTAAGTAGGCTTAGGAAAGAAAGGTTGCATGACAAATCAATAGTTTAAGAGCTGTGTAACATTGCTCTATTTCGTAAGAAGAGAATAGTAATTATTTTTCAAGAGAGGATTGTTTCATTTAGTAATGTTCTCAAATATTTCTTTTATCACTTAAGATTGGAAAAAGTGAATGCTTCTGAAGTTTAAGCTGATGCTGAATATATCTATGAATTCTCCAGGACAGCTCTCAAAGACAAGAGCTTCAATTGGAAGCAAGAATTTGTTATTTATTAGATTTTATTTTGAAATAATTTGGTCATTCTTTTCTATTATTGCTACATTAAATATTCATGTTCCTTTAAAAACAAATGAATTAATGATGAATAAAATTTCTCCTCACATTTAGCCTGTGGGTTAGAAGATATCCCGTGTTCTAAAACTAAAAGGATTTCATGAGCCAAGCTACAAACAATGAGATACATATGGATTTTTGTGTGGAGAGAGAAAGAAAGGAAATTGACACTTCACTTTCCTCCTTTGTCCCTCTAAAAAGTATTGATATTAAAGCCAATTACAATATTGGCTGCATTGATGACCTCTTCTCACAGAGTATGGAAATGGATGTTGATACAATTAGCACATTCTTGGCACACAGATCTCCAAGTACTTTAGTAAGAGTGTAACCCAAAGTTCTTGACTCTTTAGAAGCAACTATATATAAAGCCCCTAGGCTATGGGCTGGAAAAGATTAGCTAGACCCCACATTACCTCATCTATATAACGATATCATACATGCCATGATAAATTTATATAAGGGAGCAGATTATGATAAATCTATATGAGGGTTAAATGGGAGTTCTGGGTAATTAATGGCAGACAACTGGATGGAGAAGCTTAATATAGTATCTCTTGGCATTCCAATTGTATAGACGCTAAAAGCATGACAGCAAAGATGTATAAAACCCTCAATCATTCCAGACACAGAATTTCTTGTCCTTGATGTACAGGAACACCTAGAAGAGTAGTTAATATGGACAGGAACTTGCAGAAGAAATAGAGGGTCACCCATATTAGTAAGCCAGAATGCAATCATTGGAGCAGCCAGGCAGGGAGAAAGCACTCCTAGAGTTTGAAAACAGATGTTACAGAAGTCTTCTTCCCCACCAGTCAATGTACCAAATATTATGTGACCATGTTAAATAACTGAGGTGACAGATCTCTGGATATTTATACATTCTGGATGACCCTTTAAAGGCAAAATATACCATCAATATACAAAAATATACTAATTTTAATTGGACACAAAAATATGTGAATTTAGGGTTAGACTCAATTCCAGTTCCCGCCTCCATGAGTTCAGTGACTCCCCTGACAACAGAGCTAGTGCAGGTCTATTGCAGAAGGATGAGCTGAATGCAAAGAATTGGCACCTCATGCTCACTGCAGCTGTGCAAGGCCTCCTGATGCAATTGTACTGAGAAACAGGCAAAGTGGAAGGATCTATCACTGCATGAATCCTTACCTGCCTTTTCACTTTGTAACATGCCATAGAAACTGCTTTGCCTCCTAGCCTGAAGTAATCACTCCATGACCCTGGGAGGGGTAGAAAGATTCCTCCCATTTACATCTGTTCTGTGCCTGGCCTGGCCATTCAGGCCAGGTGCTTGACTCTGTATTTGCACCTAGATGAGCAACTATTAAGAATATTCAGGTAATGACATGATAGCACTCTGATATGGAATACACGCTATAAACACCACTGTTATTCATTTTAGAAAAATACTATAATAGTTGGAATAAAGAGAGATTCCAGGCCAGATATCCATGTGGTATAAAAGGCCATAGCTCCACTGACATTAATGCAACTACACTGATTTACACTAAATAAGGATCTGGTTCACTGGGTGTAAAATGCAATACAACATATGTGCCTTTCCCTTCTTTGATACACGTGAACAGATATTTTCCTCCCTGTGTGAGAAAGGAAGTTCTGCAACTTTCTAGTATTGAGTATTATTTGAGAGAAAGATGGGAGCAAACAACACAGTTGCTCTTTATGTTGGATACGTTTTAAAATCCCAAACATTAAAAGGTAAAATTTAAGCCTACTCTGCTGGTTCAAACCCCCATTTATGCCCACAAAATTATTTCCGGGTACTTGTGCCTCTGTCTGATTTGCACTCTCAAAAGGGTGGCTGTCCTTTTGAAAATATACCCCTGAAAAGTTTATAGCTACTCAAAGACTGAAGAAAAACTAATTTTGATTGTTAAAAATTATTCCAAGTCATAAGTAATAAATTGTATGTCTATATAATAAACACCATTCCTGTTTTGTTTAATCCAGTGCAACTCTAACTTGGGTCCTCAAAAGGTGGCTGATCCTCAGGTCACTAGATACTGGTACAGTTCCATTTTGATACACGGCAAAGGCAAAAATATTTTATAAGCCCTAAGAACACGTGATCTCTGGCCAAGGAGGGGTGAACCACATCAGAAGTAAGTCATCTCAACCTCCCTTTTGAAGTTATGGTGGGATTTTAACACGGGACTTTTGCAAGCACCCATGAGCTCCATACAGTACATCACGGCTCACCCAGATCCAAATGTCCATGACAAAGCCATATACAGTTCCATGGAGCCAGCCACGATGAGTTCCTTTCTTGTACTTGAAATCATGACAAGGAAAGCAGGGTGAGTGAATGAGGATGTGCAGAAAACTCAGAGAGCTCCAATTACAGGTGAGTAACTTTCTTCATCCAGAATTGCTCCTACAGATACTCAGTTTCCATCCAGTTTCCAGAAGTGTGGTAGCTGTACTGTGTAGTATTTAATTCACACTGGATTAATTCTCCCCTGAAATGACCCTCTGACTGGCTCTGAGCGACAATTAAATCCTTGCTGGAGTCTACTCTGCCAACTGCTTCCAAAAACAGAGCCCTAACCGTGCAAGTATTTTCCAAGAGGAGTTTCTGTTGTTTTGCAGGAAAGTGAAGATGATGCTGCGTAAGGTTCCTTTTCCATGTTTAGTGAAAAGATTTGGCTGTTGGCAGTTGTTCGATTCCCTAGATGCTGTAGAACATTGCCTATATGTTTTATATATCAATTTACCAGGTTTTGAACTTTACTTTATTGCTCTGTAATTCCTTTGGTGATCTTTGTCATCTCTTAAAAATGAATATTTTTTGCTCAAGTTCAGTCCTCTGAAACTTCACTTATCCTCCCTGAACTGCCAATATTATTGACAATTATTCCAATACACCTCTACCCTGATATAACGTGACCTGATATAACACGGGTTTGCATACAACGTGATAAAGCAGTGAATGAGGGGAGGTTGGGAAAAGGATGCCCCCCGTACTCACCTGCGGTGGGAAGCTGAGCACCGTGGCTGGGAGCTGGCAGAGTGGAGCAGGTTGGGGCTGGGCTGCTCCACTTCCCGCTACTGGTGAGCATGGAACCCTTCCCCAACCTCCCCCCCCCCGAGCGACACTGGAGGCAAGGAAAGCGGAGCAGGCTGGGGCCGTGTCGTTCCACTTCCCGCTGCCAGTGAGCACAGGGGGTGTCCTTTCTCCAACCTCCCCACACTCACAGGCGGCAGGAAGTGGAGTGCCGCGGCTGGGAGCTGGCGGAGTGGAGCGGGCTGGGGCCAGGCTGCTTCGCTTCCTGCCGCTGTCGGTGAGTGCCTGTTAGGGGGCAGGGTGTGTGGATAGCCGTTGGGGCAGTCAGGGGACAAGGAGCAGGGGGGGCCAAAGCAAGTTTGATATAACGCGGTCTCACCTATATAGCACGGTAAGATTTTTTGGCTCCCTAGGACTGCGTTATATCGGGATAGAGGTGTTGTTCGTGTAGTACTGCAGATGGACGTTCTGGAGTACTGCTTCTTTAGCCTGTTCCTTCCCAATTTCACTATCCCTTTCTTCATTAACTATTCTTGTATTAAGAACCCTGATCCTCCTTGTCATTTTCCAAAAGACAGGTGAGACTGCTGAATCGTTTAGCAGCTTTCTCCACGTCCTGTTGTTGATCGTGGTGGTTTGTTTATTTATTTAGTTATCCCTTAATGTTAATTAGCAGATCTATTTTCCTTTAATTTCAAATATGTTTTTCTTTTAGAAGTTTGCATCCATCAGTGTCATAGCTCCCAATCTGCCAAATGACCCGACTGATCACTATGTTGGTGACATCACACCTACTCGGGAACCTGGGGACCACTTGTGAGGGTCAAGGCCAATTCATATTTTCTCCAAAAATTATGGTTTTGTAATATTTTTGAAACTACATTGTACCTTTTACCCCACAGGGTATAAAATATTATTAAAAGGGTTACAAAACTGCACATTTTTGGACAAAAAGAACCACTTGCTCGATCCATTTATTTGCCTTCAGGTTCTAGAAATAGATAAGGTTCCACGGTGGGTATGTCATTAAAAGCATAGTAGCACTGGAACATCAATGTGACCAGGAATCCAATAATCCATAACAAGTACATTTAAATGAATTATATACACAAAATGTAACTCTCTCTCACTCTCTCGGGATATCTAGGACACCCAACATAGTTCTAATGTAGGTAGGTTTACTGCTGTTTTAGGCGAGCTTTTATGTTAACAACTGTGCTTACTTCATCAAATGTAAAATCATCCACATTTACTTCTTCATAGTCATCCTCCACTTCATCACTTTTAACAGCTGCAAGAGCACTGGCTAGTTTCTTCCGCAAGAGGAAACCCTTCCAAAATGCCTAAACAAAAATTTAAAGCATGTTATACAAGGCCATAGATCAAACCCAAATCCAGATTCTCTATGTTATCCCATTAGGAAGATAAAACATCTTAGACCTTGGTTTAATAGCTCAATGATCTGTTTTTTGAACTTTATGTGACATTTAAAACTACAAGACAAATTAAATGCCAGCATATGTCTAAAGCTCAGAATACTCAAGAGGTTTTCCTCAAGTAAGCAGAATGGAATCTTGAAACTCCCTCAACTACAAACCTAGGTCAACTAATTAATTATTTGACAATTCCTACAGGGCCTATTCTAAGCTGAGGGGGAAGAAGATATAACAAAAAGTTGAGTGTTCACTTTCAAATTACTGAGAAAAAAAATAAAAACACACTTATACCAAATTTTCAGTGGTTACAAGTGGCAATTGTTGTTGTCATTTCATGTAATTAACCTAAACCAGTCAACCACATCTTCACAGTTACTGTCTACTCTACTTTTTTTTTAAGAAAAAGAGGCTTTTTATCATCATCTAGGTAAAAAAAGAACATACAGCAAAAGAATGAGCACTTATATACCAGAACATGATGCAAGTCATTAGGAATATGTGCAAAGACATACTGGATACGTTAGGATAAAAGGTACATTATACATGGGAATATTATTTTTTATAACTGTAGTTTTATGGATCATGGTTTTAAAAGGAAATTCCTGTTTTATGGTAGACAGTGTTAGAACTTGGATAGCAATTTTCCTTGCTCATTGAGAATGTCCTATACTGTATCAATTAGAGGATATTGCCATTTCCTCCTCCCTCTCAAAAATTATGTGCAAATAATAGCCCTGTATCTGTTTTGCCTTATCATTTGCAGTGTGCTGCCATAAACTAATGATTTATCATAAACATAATGAAATGCTGAGACTGAAGATCTGCTTTCCTACTGGTTACTCTGCTGGGCTTTAACTACTAGGAACATACAATTAAAGTTAAATCAGGAATACCACAGCACTTATGATTGGCTGGGTTAAAAGCTTGTAGATTGGGTTATAGCCTCAACTCTTCCAGAGCACATGTGGCAGGAAAGGGCATCCTCATGGGCAAGTGACCTGTGCTTGGAAAGCCCATTTCTAGAATTCAGAGAGAAGGAAAAGACAGCATTTCCCCACAATGCTGGTCCTTTCCTGACACCCATTCTACATTCCCAGAAGACAAGTCACGTTGAGCAGATGCCACAATGTGATGAAATCCATGAGGCAAGCAGTAAAATTTTCTAAAGTAGGATACTTAGTAGATTAAATCCTATTGATATTTAAATAAGATTTAGGCTTCAAAGTGCCTAAGTATTTTTGAAAATGAGACTTAAGATCCTAAATCACTTAGGTACCTTTGATGTTTTCACCCAACACACACAATATGGAATAACTTTCAAGATAGGGTTTACATAAGGCTAAACATTCTGGCAATGTCCCTTTAATTTAAAAAGGACTATAAAGATTTTAGAACTTAGAATGTTCAGGGTACATAGCATTATTTTCCTAAGTCACCCCAGTAAAATTAAAATCAAGCATCAACTAATTTAACAGATCAGTATTTTGTAAAAGACAAAAACTTGTGATGCTTATACAGGATTTTATTACACAAAAAAAAAGGGTTTTCTGCTGGAATCATCTGTTTGGTTCAAGGAAAAAACTGAATGAACATTACTTATAAATACAGCTAATCAATCAGATCATTCCTTACTAAGTCTAACTGTAACAAATGAACAGAACACTGTAGCAAACCAACCTGAATAAGGGTAGCAGCTTTATGCTTCTGTTCTATAGCATCTGTGAGTTGATTACTTTCTTTTTTGCAGTAGACACTGTTTCTCCTGGCACGGTACTTCCGCCAAGCACACTGGATCTCTGTTGCTGCCATATGTAGTCTAGCACAGAAATTAATATCTCTGCGAATTATGTAGCCTCGCCAATATGACTGGATTAGTGTAGCTGCCAAGCTATCAACACCAGAAAAAGAAAGTTTTATGGAACTGAAGACACTACCAGTAATGAAGAAGTTCCCCATTAGATATTATGCATACATGTATTTATCCACACACAATGGTTGAGAGACTCTTGGAAAATGCATTTTCAGCTTCTACCTATTTTTACTTTTTAAACAAGACTATTCCAGAGAGTAATACATTACGGATGCTTTTAAATCTCCACAATGATTTAAAACAGCTATGTATGGGGTGCCATGTAGTTAGGCTTAGGCAATCATCATATCCTTTATAATTTCATACGGCAATCCTAGTGGTTAAAGTATTGTTCAAGTTCCATTTTGCTTATTGTTTAAAAAGTACAGTTATTAATTTAAATGCTATAAAACAGTCTTGATTATATTACAATCAGACTGTTCAGATCTGTCAAATGGTTGCTGCTTTCTAAAGGTTTGGGGAATTCAAGAAATCAAGGCACATGCTCTCTACAGTGATCTGCAGATAAATTTTTTACAGAGAAGTTAATGTCTAATGGCAGTTCTAAGTTATCTCAAAATGTTAGAAAACAACCCTAGCATCTCTTATATCAACAAACCAACGAAAGGGCAGAAGAACTGAGAAACACCCAAAAATTCTATATTTTTATATTTTTCTTCTTATTTAGGTACAGCTGCTTAAAATGTGAAGCAGCTTACAGTGAAACAGATACTCCAAAACAAGTCACAACCTTCCACAGGAATATTCTGAAGTCAACACGTTAACTCAGAGATAAGTAAATATCAAATGGAAAATATGTGGCTTTTTAAAAATCTTAACTTTTAAGAAAATACTTGGGAAATTTTTAAAAATAATTGATATCACCACAAAAAAGTATATTTTAAAACCTTGCTTAAGTACTGATGAGCAAGCGCAACCAGGGGTGGGGAACTAAGGATGCTGGGGGTGCAGTAGCACCCCTGATTTGAAGTAGTTTCTATCACATACAGGGTTTACACTTTTGTCCAATAACTTTCAGCACCTCCACTATAAAAAATGTTCCGCCACTGGGTGCAACTCACAGTTAAGAGAATGGCTTTCTAACAGCAGAATTTCTGAAATATTTATATCAGAAGATTCACTAAAAAACTTTAAATGCAACGTTTAGAAAAGGATTTAGATTTTCAGAAACACTAAGGTTTCATAATGGGCTACTATGCTCCCGCTCATCTCCACTGGAGTCCATTGTGAATTCTGCAGTCCTTCTCAATGAATACATTCATAATAAATTAATCGATTCCCAAAAACAAAAAAACCCCTAAAACACAGGGAATGATGTCTGCATATTGTACTTCTAAGGAAACTGAAGGAACATACCTTTCAGTGTTGCCCCTCACAATGTACCCCAGGCTTGTACATGTACAGTGTATTTTTTAAACTGGACACCTTGTCATACCGGAACTTTTATGTACATAGGACCAAATCTTCACCTCCCATTCTACCTGTGTAGCTGGAGTCACTACAAAGCAGCTAGAAATCTGCCCTAAACAGCAACAGAGCATTCCACTTCACACAGGAGAATCCTTAGATGGCACAAATCAAGTGTAGCTGGCTCTATGCTCCCCAACCCCTCTTGTATAAGATGGAAAGAGGCAGGTTGGGAATGCCAAAGGCAGGACAGATAGTTGGCTCTTCAGTCAGCACAGCTGCATGTGATTGGCCTAGGGTCAGGAGAATGGAGAAACAGCTTTATCACCACCTTTCCCTCCCACCTGCTCAACTGTAAACTCAGCACAGATTAGGACTGAGCCCTAATGAAGTTCAGAAAAAAAAATCTTACTAACAATGGTAAAAAAACCTCTACACTATTGTTTCTTATTGTTTTATACAATTAGGCAGAGGGTTCATGTATTTAGTACCAAGAAAGGAAAAGTTAGATAGAAGTCACATTTAAAATTTTCTCCTTACTTTTCACGCAGTTTTCAATTCGAATATATTTTTAAAATATTTTTAAATGCAATCACTGACAAAATATCACAGAACTGTCATACATAAAGGATATTAATTTTAACCATGATTAGGGGACAATAAGAGTTAAAACTTCTTATTAAAAAAGTACATAGGAGGTGAACAGAAAAGACAAAGGGTTTTTCTACATGGCAAGTTATGGCACAGAAAGCCTGTGTGTAATATATAGCATACTGCACTTTGAAGTAGAAGAATGCTAAGCCACACTCCAGGACTTTCACTGTGGTCCACCCAGGATGCTGCTGCATGGCAAACTAGTGCGCCGTAGATTCACAGCACGGTAACTTGCTGTGTAGACAAGCCCTTAATAGAACATAATAGTTGTAAGTTTGTATCCCATTGGAAACTATTTTGAAAACTAACTTTCCACATTACATTTATGCAGAAATGGAACTGGGTTTTTATGGCAAATATTTGACATTTATATCTTACTTTTCCACACTGTTCTCAACATAATGGAGATTCTCTCCCTCATTACTTGCAATGACTGTCTCTCTGAATGTGTTTCTTGTTTTTGGGGTTGATATTTTTCTGTTATCTTTGTGCTCCCCTTTGTGACTGATGCAACATTCAGTACTCTTCTTCTTTATTTTGTGCTCTTGATTACTTTTTTTTTGAGGCACAGGTACGGAGGAGTTAATGAACATAGGCTGAATGTGGCATGTAGTAATCCATCTTTCAGAAGGATTCAACAAGCCCTGCTTATTTTCCTTTGCACCAGCGATAAAGAGGTTATTTTGCTGTAGCCTGTCGGTGGCCGTTTGCTTCAAATGATCTTGCTGTGCTTCTGGTTCATCTCTGTCAGCAATGTTTAGGTCTCCATATTCATGTGCACATCGGTGTTCATTACTAAGTTTCATCAGCTCCTTAAAATACCAGCACTGACTCTGTGCAGCATCCAAGGCAGAAGCATTTCTGAAGAAAGATAAAAATGCAGTTACATTTATTTCAGACAATTGGAATTATATTTTTAAATCAAGCATGCCTTTATTTTCTAACGTACATAAGCTACGTATTGGATGAGTTTAGCACACACATAACATTGTGAACACTGAGTACTAAATGACTCCTGCTTTAATTGCCAATTTATGATATTCTTAAATGGTTTCTTTTCCCCTCTTTATTTTTCCAGTATCTTGAATACACTAACACACATTAGTTTGTTTATTTTACTAAGCCAGTAGCTTGATTAGAAAATTATTTTTTCTCTGTTTTCAGACTTTAGGTTTGAAATACGTACTGGGGTATCTATTTCACTGAAAATTTTAGTGTGGTTAGGAGCACATAGTGCAGCAAATTCTGGAGGATTTGAGTCTATTTTACTTACACCAATAACCTTACGAATCTATTCTAAAATAGGAACTAAGCAAGACAAAGTAAAGATGGTACTACATATTTCTGAATCTAGAGCAGAACTTAACAAAACTCAGACTCCAACCAACAAGCCTCAATGTCTAGTGAGGGTCTAAAAGAGAATAAAAAGACTATTAAAAAATGGAGAAATGCAACAATAAAATACTATGGCAGGTTACCATTCTCCACCAGCTTGCTGGTTTCAAAGAATTACTCAGTGGCCTCCCACTTCCATAGCTGACTGCTGGTGAAGTTTTCATGGATTTTTGCTGGTTTGTGACTGGTAGGTTTAAATGCACTAAGGCATGATAATCAGCTTAGAGCAGAGGAAGGAACATAAGAGGAAATGAGGCATGCAGGGCACTTGCCTTCCTGTTTGGCTGCTGGGTCCATAGTCCTACTTTCCTTTCCTCTCTCCACTAAGTATGGCTATGTGTTGTAGCCCTTACATGAATAGGAGGAGTAAGTGCATTATAATAACCAGGTACTGCAGACAGAGGAGTATGTCTTGCTGATCGTCACTTACATAGAACGAATGCACAGCATTAGTCAATAAATATGTCTGGGGTCAGTGGCACAAGAGAAGTGGAAACCTAGAAGGCTCCTGTACAGGATCTGGCAGAACTGAGACCTGCAACTGTCGCAGAAGAATGAAAGCAGTACACTTGCCGTATTTTCTTATCGAAAGACAAGGCTTTCGTAGTGCCTGGCTATGTAAAAAGCCACACACTGATTTTCCTTATATGAACATTCCTCTACTGTATTTCTATCAAACGTATGAAATGTTGGAAACTGAGTCAGGCCATGCTAGAAAGACAGCCTGATTCTTTTCACCAGTTTGATTCTATTGACTCAAAGGGAGCTTCACCAGCATAAAACTGGTTTAATAGAAATTAGGTACATACACTAGAACCAGATAACTTACTGCAGATACATGGGCCAAACAACTTGAGAGTCTTGTTGCCCATTAGGCAGCATTTCTCTTTCTTGTTAAAAAAATTCCAAAACAATGGCAGCATTTTATCTATGAAGATTTATTAAAACCAACAGTGCTGTACACTTGCTTGAGGAACTAAGATAAATTACACCTGCACCTGCTGACTTCAACACAGGAAAAAGGTTGACATGTCTGAAAATGAAAGAAATATTGTTAAGGTTTAGAAGAAGGTAGATCTACTGAAAACATGCCAAAAGGTTGGAATTGCATTTCCCAAATGCTGCAAGATATACTGCATCAAAGAAGTTTGTTGATTATGATGGGCTAAATGCTATCAGCTCAACAATAGACACTATGTTTGAGACCATCACCAGTGCAACTTCTTCTGAAAATGCCAGTCTAAACCAGATTATTTTTATCATATCTCACAAACCACTTAAACATATCTTAATACCATTTGGCCAAAAAAAGGGGGGGGGGAAGAGTGGTAATATTAATGCTTGTTACATTCCTTGTTGAATCCATCTAGTAAAAGTTCACTGACAATCTGAAATTTCTACATGTGTTGCAACCCAAACATTATGCAACAGCCCTCATAATTTCTGAAGTTCAGAAATGCCAGTAAATGTAACAATGACAATATTACTAGAAAAAGTGATACCATTAATAAACAATCTCATATCCACCACTTATTTTTGAATTTCAGATTGGCTGTCAGAAATTTCCATTCCACTCACTGAGTCAGAATTTACGGACAATACTACTATTGACACTCATTAAAACACCAAGCAAAGACTGCACCCTTGTAACTGGAAACCTGAACGCGAAAGTAGGAGCTGTAAACTCTCTTAAGGAAGTAATGGGAAACAATGGTCTGGGTTTGAAAAATGAGAGAGGAAGGCACTGTGGCGGGTGGGACACACCCCTGTGGCACCTCCTGCTGGTTGTCCAGGGAATTAGCGTTTCCAGCCTCCGGAGCGCCTTCTGCTGCCCCCTGGCAGCATCCCCACAGATCTGTGTCTCCCTCCCCGCCCCCCCAGGAATCCCCACCCTCTATCCCCACCTCGCCTCAGTATATGGCTACTGCCAGTCACCATCTAGCCCCCACTTCCTGAGGCAGACTGCAGTATAATTGTCACTCATCATCGGCAAGGAGGGTCTGGACCTGCTGCTTCTGCCTACCCTTGGGCTGCCCAGTACCCTTTTCCTAGGTCTTCATCAAGGCCTGCAGCCTGGGGGTTTCTCAGGCCAGAGTTCCCCAGATCCTCTGGCCTTTCCCCATCCCTGCTCCACCCACAGGTACCCTGCTCAGATCCCAGCAGTCAGGACCCTCCCTCTCAACCTCTAGAGAGAGACTGTCTCAGCTTCTGGCCCACTGCCCTCTTATAAGGGCCAGCTGGGCCCGGATTGCACTGGCTACAGCTGTGGCTGCTTTCCCCATCAGCCCTGCTTTTCTCTCCCACAGCCCTCTCCCGGACTGCTTTAAGCCCTTCTAGGGAGGAGCAGAATGACCACCCCGCTACACTCCGCTACAGGCACTTAGTCAAATTCTGCTGCTCTAATCATCTGGTCATTACAAACACCATTTTCAGCCACCATCCTAGATGTTTATATATTGAGGTCACGTGACAGAGTGACAAAGAACAAAACTGATTATGTAATGATACAGGGATGATTGCGATTGAGTGGCCAATGGACCAAGACTTTCCTGAATGCAGACTGCCGGTCAGACCATCAACTCTTAGCCTCAAACATAAAATTAAAACTGAAAAAAATAAGCTGTTTGGCAGGTCCACTGTGCATGGTCTTGTTCAAAATCAATTAAAAGACTACAAGACTTCTATATAATTTCTATATAGGTTTGAGTCATTGTCATAGGTGAAAAGAGAAAAACCTGAATGAACTTGGAATAAAATGAAACCATCATGCTCAAAGCTGCCAAAGCACACATTCTAAAAAAAAAAAAAAAAAAAAATCAGTGTTGGACCACATCATTGTTGACTGAAAAGGTGTTTGATCTTGCGTTATTTTTTCACTGAGTCAAAGAGAGAGGATTGAAGACTGAGGAATGCAGGAAAGAACACAAGGAATTGAGCAGACAGATTCAAAGGCAGAGCAGACAAGACAAAAGTGACTACATCAGGGCAAAATGTGAGGATTATAAATTGTAAAAAGAGTAATAATACAAAAGGTATGTTCAAGTTGTCAGACTTCTTTCTAAAAAGTTTTCCCCACCACTGAGTGTAATAAAAGATTATGATGGCAGGTTATTGAAAGTGACTATATCAAATGCAACTGGAGAGATTGCTGTAATAATCTGTATGCCCAGTCAAAGCCATTTACAATACAGGATGATAGAAAAGAGTATGGACCTACAGTCATCAGTCCAAAACAGTGCATGCTATTATGAAAATGAAACCTGAGAAAGCATGAGGGGTAGATAACTTACCAACAGAATTGTTAAAAATGATTGGTGACCATGGTATTGATCTCATGCGGAAAACTTGTATTGTGATACAAATGACTAAAAACTGGCTGGATGACTTGGATGAAGAGAATCTTTCGGTCCTTACCAAAGAAATGGGATATAACAGATTGCAGTAGCTATTGTAACATCTCCCTAATATCACATTCATATAAAGTGCTGTTCTACATAATTCAGGATTGCAAGAAGCGAATGATAGAAACAGAACTACCACCACAAGAAGTTAGTTTCAGAGAGGGACGTGATCAAATTATGAATATCTAAACTCCCTACATTTTTCAGTGATATGAATCACCCATTGATTGTGTGTTTTATTGACTACTCCAAAGTATTTGATGCCATCCAACATATTAGTCTCTGGAGGATACTGGAGGATATGGGAATTCTAAAAATATGCCACTGAACTCATTCCAAATCTCTATGATCAACAGCAGACCATGATGCTAGCAGCAGCAGCCAACAGCCAGTGTTTTTTCCATTGGGCAGCGTGTATTCGGTCCCCATGTTCACAGAATTTATTATGAGACAAGATCTGGACAGTTTTGATAAAGTGGAAGAAGCTGGGATTTCCATTGGTGCACACTTCTTAACTGACCTCAGATATGCTGATGATATGATGCAACCATTGATACAATGCAATGAATGTTAGTCTGTAAAAGCAGTTAGTGAGGACTATATACTATTCCTGAAAGTGGAAAAACTTATATTCATGAATTTTGACATGAACAATAAAAATAGGATACAAGCAGACATTGCAATTAACTGTACAGCACAGGCTGTCGATTAATTTCATTATCTGGGTATCATACATATCCAACCAAGAAGGCTGCTCCAAAGAAATTGGAAGATGATTACAGATGGATCACTCAGCCATGGAATCTATCTGAAAATGTGGAAAAACTGTGGCATCTCAAAATGCATGAAAGGTCCACGTGAACTTAGTTACTTATGGATACGAAACCTTGGAAACTAATGCTGCAGACAAAAAGAAAATTGAAGCCTTTGAGATGTGGTACTAGTGAAGATTCTTGTGCATCTCCTGGACAGAAAAGAAGAAAAGCACTTACATTAGAAATATTATCAGAGAGAAGCAGATTTGGCTCTTGGAAATCAACAGGTGCAAACTTATATACACCTCTA